GATCAAAAGGTCCCATCCTTGGCCAACTGGGGGCCTGTTCAAGCTGGTTTCAAAGTTCTAATCTTTAATAGCCTCCTTGCATTCTAGCATGTCAAGGGATTCCAGGCCACCTTGTACTTTTTCTGCTCCCAAATTGGAATTATTCATTACTTTGAAGAAGATATAATTATTAATCCATTCTTGAGTCTAACTTGTATATCCCATAAATGTTTTCCTAACTAAATAAGGTGACTACTGAGCAAATTCCAGTTCCTAAACTAGTGATTTCAAATTTGAACAATGTATGTAATGTAAAATAAATAAAGACATACAACCCAGATGTGGTGGCACATGCCTGTAATCCAAGTACTTGGGAGGCTGAGGCAGGAGGATCGCAAAATTGAGTCCCACTCGAAGCCCTATCTCAAAATAAAAAATTTTAAAAAGACTGGGAAGGTAGCTCAGTGCAAAGGCCTTGGGTTCAATCCCCACTATCAAAATATATATATATGTGTATATATATATATGTGTATATATATATATATATATTACTTCATCCTCATTAAAAGAAATAATTTAAATCCTAATTTCCTAAACTACTCATCACTTAAGTTTTTGGACTGATTATATACCAAGAGAGCTACCAATCAACTCTGCTTCTGTATTACAATAAAATTTTGCAATTCAAATGTGTATGATGATCAAGGTAAATCCTGTGTTGAGGTTGAAATTGAAAAGTATGAAAAAAAAGCCTTCTTTATTGTAACCTTCCTTCAAAAATCACTAGAAATATAATGCAAGGATAACAATAGGAATTGTCTAATTAAAGCTTTAATTAAGATAAGCATTTTTAACTAAAGGTTGGACTCTTTAATGAAAATGAGTTAAGAGTGCTCAAATATCATGAGTTTGCAATGAATACAATAATTTGTGATCTTAATTATTCACATTACTCAAAAGTCATTGTGACAATAACAGCAGCATCTTTTTAAATGCACCCACTCCCTGAGTGGAAAATACAAAGCCTTCATTCTCAAAATCACAACTAAAGCAAATTATGTTTAATCCTTTACTTTTAAAACTAAAAACTAATGTTTTTAGTGGGAACCAAAAGAAATATTTTGAAGTTTTTTTCAGCTGCTATATTTCTAACTCTAAAACTTTTTTGGAAGTAATAATATTTTTCAGGGTGCTTAAGCATTAGCAAGATGCTTTAGAACACACTTATTTATAAAATTACCGCTCCATTTAAATAGTAATCTTACAATCACGAATCTGCTCTGCTACAAATGTTGAGCATAAGTACAATTTAAAGTAGAACCCTCTCCAAAATGTATTCTAACATATTTGCTTGTAGCACCTCTTCTAGTTCTTAAAATATAGTCCCTTAATTTTAAAAAGAAATATTCTATTCTCACTGTAGATACATTTGTGCATATTCTTTTTTTTTTGTTTTTGGTACCAGGAATTGAACTTGGGTCCTTGCGCTTGCACAGCAGGCAGCGAAACCACTGAGCTAAATCCCCGGCCCTCATTTGTACATATTCCTGATGGATCTAACACAGTATTTACAGTCATTTAACTATCACTTTAAAAAACTGAAGCTCCAACTTACAAGGTAATTAAAATCAGATGTAATAAAAATATTCTTCCTTATGATTAACAGATGCAGCTATCAGGCCGGGGATTTAGCTCAGTGGTTCCACCACCTGCCTTGCAAGCGCAAGGTCCCAAGTTCGATCCCTGGTACCAAAAAAAAAGAAAATAGATGCAGCTATCTCCAGATGTGACTAGTAATGGACTAACCCTTAAATGCATCTACCCTCAACTTATAATTGTGAATTATGTTTACTTATACGTATATAAACACATCCACATTTAGTGAACTCTGAACTCACTAGCGTATGTGTAACAATGGAACTATTCAGAATATTTTAAATTACTCTTTCTCACATAATCTATTCATATATAATTTAGCATGTTAAGCTAAGATGCTATAGTTCACATACTAATATAAAGTATTTACATTCCTAACATACCTCAATCTACTGCTCATGTAGCTTCTTCAGACAAGCTCAAACACACAAAACTACGATATAAACATTTTAAACCTTTTTTCTCAAATCAAAGTAGTACAGAGTAAACTGTGTAAATTAAATGAATGCTTTAATATTTAAATTAGGAGATTCAAACAGGGAAAGGGAGAGAAAAAAGAATGCAAGATGTATCCTCTCTTACCTTATAACACAATAAATTCTACATGTATCAAAGACTTACATGTAAAAAAAATAAAACAAACAAAAAACCCTAGAATAAACTTGGGGGATTTTTTTGTTGTTTAATATTGCCCAGTAAAAGGTCAAGATGTAACATATATCTACAAGCAACAAGATACAAGTTATAAATTCAATTGCATAAAAACAAGCATTTTTTCAAAGCAAATAACAACAGTAAAAAGTCATGGCAGGGCTGGGGACTGAGCTCAGTGGTTTGACCGCCTGCTGGGCAAGCACAAGGACCCAAGTTTGATCGCTGGTACCAAAAAAAAAAGTCATGGCAAATAATCAATAAAGAATTAGTCCTAGTTATTCATGTTAAAAGGGCTACCTGATACAAAGTACATACTAACACATAAGAAAAAAATAACAATAGAAAAATAGGATAAACTGTTCACAAAAAAGATGCAAAGGGCTTATAAAAATATGAAAATATGCTCCACTTCAATCATAATAAGGGAAATACAAATCTAAAGTATTTTGAAATATATTTCACCTAACAGTCTAGCAAAGTTCAAAAAATTTTAAGACTTTTAATAAAAGCTGGGAAAATTTTTACTCATACATTTGTTGCCTGTTGCATTTAAGGATATTTGACAAGATCCTTCCAAAGTACAAATGCATGTATCCTTTAACCTAGGAATTGCACTTTTAGGGACTGATCAGATTCATCCATGCATACACATACCTTAAGCATAGGTAAATTTACTCATCAACACATTGTATATTATACCAAAGACTTGAATGGGGAAGCTCTAAATGGGCCTAATGTACAGTTTTTTAAAAAATAGTACATGGAACAGCAAATACAGTGCGCTACCATTTCTTTAATAGGTGACTATTTATATTCATGTTCAATTGTATGTATACTAACCCCTCCTTGGAAGAACATACAGATGGCTAATAACATCAGTGGCCTCTGAGGAGGGTGGTGCAGGAGGCTGAAGATATTAAACCATGTGTTACATACTTCTACACATTTTCAGGCAAAAAGAAAAAAAAAGTGTGTCGGGCATGGTGGCACACAACTGTCATCTGAGCACTCTGGGAGGCTGGGGCAAGAGGACACAAGTTCCAGCCCAGCCTAAGCAATTTAGTAACTTAGAAACCCTGCCTCAAAATTAAAAAAGAAAAAAGAAAAGAAAAAAAAAATGAGCTGGGAGGTAGCTCAGTGCAAAGCTCCTGGTTCAATCCCCAGAATCACACAAAAAAAAGACCCAATCCTAAATAAACACTTACATATAATTAAAATCAGGGATTCCGGTGTATACAGATTGAAAAGCAGAAGGAATCTAATTCTCCTGGGCATCATTTCATTCTATCGATACTTAATTTGGTCTGATTAGTATCAGTCATTTACTTTCATTTAAAAATTTTATAAAACATATTCTACTACAGTCCTTACAAACTGACATTTGCCTTTTCTAAGCAAATAGGTTCTATTTTTCTATTTTATTTCATTTTTATGCAATTATTTTAAGAAAAATAATAGCTCAATTTAGTGAGTGCTGAAAGGTGGACTTCATGCTCCAAATCTATAGAATGTAAACCTGCATTGTGATAATATCAAAAACAACTAAATATTCTCTCTGCATATCTAGAAAACAGGACAAAATTAAGATATATAAACCCCCAGGAGTGATGATGAAATGGGATTTTTCTCTTCTTTTTTTTTGAGACAGGGTCTAGCTATGTAGTCCAGGCTGGCCTCAAACTCACAGCGATCCTCCTGCTTCGGCCTCCCGACAAAAAGGGAATTTAAAAGTCTAGTTCCTTCATTATTTCTTTTATGTTCAAGTAAAATAATCTTAGAAATGGGTGGAGAGAAAGGCCAAAGTCTGAATTAACTCAAAAGGAGATGTAAGGGTAGGGCTGAAGGGAGGGGAAGGGAATGGGGGAAAAAAGTAAAATCAGGTACAAATTTCCTATGATGAATGTGATCATTACGTTTATCAAAACTGTGCCAATAAAATTAATACTTTTAAAAAGTAGATGTAGAGTAATTTTTATTCTCATAAAAAGCACATCATCCTTTTTCTAAAATCGTTGGAAAATTACAGAGGTCCATCTTAATTACCACCACTAGGCAAATGGGCCGTTTGAACATTTCGTCTTCTCCTGCCGGATTCTTCTAGACTTTTTAAATGGGATTTACTTTAATAACAGAATTTTGATGCTACTGCCATTCTTCTAACCTGCCAAATTATCTAAATCCCAACATCTGCAGTCAGGCTGTTTCCCAGGATTTCTGTTCTCTTGCCAACTCCAGCGAGGCCCCGGCCACGACTGCTCCTGAGCCCGCACAGCGAGGCAGGACTGCGCCCCGCGAGAAGGGGCATCCCAGACGCGACTGTCCCGCAGGTGACACGTGTGCGGCCACCAGGTCACCCCCATCCCACGACCTCCGGGTCAGCACCGCGCGGGGCTCTGTGCTCCCAACCAACCCCGCCGAGTCGCTCGGCCTCGCTGAGTCCGAGACAGTGACAGCGCACAACACGCCGTCCACGCAGCCTGGCAGCGCTCCGACTCGGTCCAGGGTCCGAGCGGGACAGTGCGGGCGGGGTCCTGGGGGAGCGCGGGACCCCGAACCCCAGACTCCGGGGCTCCCGCCCCACAGGCTCGGGGACTCGGGGTGGGGGCGGGGACCCGCCGAGGACTGAGGGTGGGGGTCCCCGGGCCTGACAGAAGTCGCGCTCCCGAGCATCCAGCGCCCAGCACCCAGGGCATGCGGGCGGCGGGACTCACCGCGCTGGCGGCGGCGGACGACGCGGGGCCGGGCGCGTCCTGCCTCCTCAGGCGGGACTTCAGGCTCTTCATGGCCGGCGCTCAGCAGTCCCGCTCCCGTAAGGAGGGCGGGCGCGCCGGACCCGCGCGCGAAGCTTCAGTCTGCTGGCTGCGAGCGCGCGACGCGGCGCCGGAGGAGTGGACCGCGGGGGCGGCGCCCAGAGCTCCCGCCCCACCTGCCACCTGGGGCCAGCGGTCGACGCTCCTAGCCTGAGGGGGGGGGTCTCGCCAGCAGCCAATCGGCTTGTCGCCTGGCCAGAGTGGGCTCGACTCCGGCCAATCGGAATCCGGGAAAGGGGCGGGACTTCCCCTTTAAACTGAATAATACTCTTCCTCTCCCGCTGGAGAAACTGGGAGGTTTGGCTGGCACAGCTGAGCGGTTCGTGACCCGATTCCAGGCCCCTGAGCCTCTCTACCTGTGCTGGAGCTTAGAGTCTGCACAGACACCAGGGTCCAGCTTAGGTGAGCTCTCCTCTTCCCGGACCCGCCCCCTCTTCCCACCCACGTGTTCTCTCCCGAGTAAAGTTCTCTTCCTTTCGTCAGTCCCAGAAAGGACTCTGGGTTACCTGCACACAGACCAGCACACGAAAGCAACTTCCTTTCTGCCTTGATGTTTCACCACACAAATCCCAGTATCACAAATCCCACTATCACATGCATGAAAACATCCAGAAACGGACAGGCTCTGAGAGAGAAGGTCCTGATTGTACAGAAGGCCATAAATTAAGAACACACTTTGACAGACGTTATATAAAATCAAAGCACATGTTGGGTATTAAATTACTTGTTGAAGAATCTGGCGCTTTGGCAGGATAGAGATGGGATGGGGCATCCATAAATAAGTTATCCACGTAGCCACCAAAAAAACAATACACACACACACACGCACACACTGACACTTTACAGGTAAAAGCAGACAGTGAATTTATCCTAGTATATATATATTCATACACACATATATGTACATACACATATGCACATACACTATATTCTTTTCCTTTAGAAACACATTACAGGTAAAAGTATACAATTAATTTATGAGGATAAATCTAGATCAATGAAAATCATTTAGTAGGAAAACATAAGAGTCTGGTGAGCAACACCCAGTAATTGGCTGATAATGTAACAGCTTCAAAAAAATCTTCCTTGGAGTCAGTTTTCCCAGTGAAATGTTTACTCTAGCAAGCACCCATTTGAAAAGACAAACAGTCCATGTTTCTAACAAAGGACTCATTTTGTTCTGAAAGGGCAGTTGCTTTCTTTGGAGTCTCCTTAGACTAACTCCGAGTTCTATTCCAATATTGCAAGAAAGTTTTCAGAACTCTCTTGGAGAGACAGCATTCAAAGACTGTGTTAATCCTTAACAAAAAATCAGTTATGAGTACTTGTGAAAACTAGTAAACTTTCTCTTGATTAGCTCCAAGGAAGGGTATTTCCTTTTCCTCAAGCTTCACACCCAGTAAGTTTTTGTTGACCTTTATTTTTTTATTTTATTTTATTTTTTTGTAGACAGGATCTCCCTGTGAGATTTAGGCAGGCCTTGAACTCACTATGTAGCCCAGGCTGGCCTGGAACTCATGGTGATCTTGCCTCAGCCTCCCAAATGCTAAGGTTCCAGGCCTACACCACCGTGTCCAGCTTGTTACCTCTATATCATGTCTTTGGATGGCCGTTACTCTCCATCCTCACTGCCACTGCAGAACCAAAATTATCTCATGTCTGGACTGTTATAGATGCTTCCAAGTCAATACCCCAACCTCCAGGCTCTCACACTTCCATCACCAATGAGTCACTAACCATCATCAAAAAGTCTTACAGGCCCAGGGATTTAGCTCAGTGGTGCTGCCGCCTGTCTCACAAGCACAAGATCCTAAGTTCGATCCCTGGTACCGAAAAAAAAAAAAACCAAAAGTTTTACAAAGTTCTCCTTTGTTCAACAAACCTTCAGCAGCTTGTGAAAAAAATCCTCCTTTATTTGGTATTTAAGGATCTACAGCACGGACCCAAACCTGTCCTCCAGTTGGTCCCGGAATTACTCATTAGCCCTTCTTCAATCCTGGGTCCTGGATCTTGATTATACATGTTGATACCTCCACTAATAGTTTTCTCTGTCTAAATTCATACCAGATAATACGGCTGCCTCCTAAGTGGTTGGAAAGGGTACAAAAGGCACATGTAGTCTTCTGGAATAATGTGCTACTCTAGCTAGGTGGATAACTACTATATTCAATTTGTTAAAAGTCAGTGTACACACTTATATATGAGCTATACTTTAATAAAGGAAAAGTGTGCTTTTTAAAATTAAAGTACATCCTTTTCAAATGTCTCCAAGAACCTTCCCTGATCACGCAAGTGAAAGTGATTTCCCCACCACCACCACATCCTCTGAATATTTCTTTCTGTTAGAGTAATTATACCTCCCATTTGGTACTAACGCATATGATCTAATCTCACTATTGGACTTCAAACTCCTTAAAATCAGAATAGCTGATACATATTTGAATTTCCTAGAATGCTAGCATGTTATATGTATTCAACAAGTATTTCCAAATGGAAATTCTTTCTGGTTGAATTTTGGTTGTTGTTCTATGCATTCGTGTGACATTGTGAGGACCCCTCTCTACCATGAACACAAGAGAAATGACCTAGGGCTATGTTGCTGCTCCAATACTTATCCTTCAATCAGTTCTTTAATTCAGGACTTAAGATAAGCACCCACTTACCATCTAGTCTCCCAACTGAATCTTAAATGTTAATTGTCTTCAATAGCACTGTCTCCCCTTTGTAATTGGCTGTTGAGTTAATTGCAGCCTTATGCTGTTCTGGTGTCTCCTGGAGCATCCCAGTTATCATAGCCCTGGTGACTGGCATCTTTTCAGTTGTTGCTGGAGAAAGCAAACAGACTGAGCCACAAGTATAGCTTGCATCAGGTTCCAAAAATGTTGGGCAAGTTATTTTTATGAACTGTCTGCCTGATGTCCTGATGATGTCCGTGTCCAGTGGCCCTTGTGGATTTTTCCAGACTAGAAACTTGATAGCTGATGTCTGCTTATTCCCATTTAAAAGCAGCTGAGTAAATAGCACTAGTGTGAAAATGCAGTAAAGTTTTTTATATTGATCTAGAAGCCCCTTCTATGAAGCAAATGCACTATTATTAGAGTTCAGCCAGACAGGTTTGATTTGGTTTTGTTCATTATTATCACTATTTTTTATTTTTATCTTCCTTTAACAGAAAGGGGCACTTAACAAACCTAAATGGATTTTTGTTACCCTACTGAATATATATGAAATACTTTTTTTTTGTTTTGTTTCTTATTTTTACAATGTATGCAACCAGGAAGGGTAACATGCTTTTTAAATTAGCTTATACAGACACATGGTTTTTAAAAAATGTCAAATAATACAAAAGGGTACAGTTAGTCTCTTTATTATCCCTTTGGCCCCTGCTACCAGGAACTTGTGTTCTATACAAAGGAACAAAGCTAGCATAGATACCCCACTTGGACAACAAAATACTTTACTATATAGTAGGAGTGCAGATGTGAGTGGTATTCAGAAAGGAAAAAGATCAGAAGATGTACGTGGATAAAGGAGCTATCCCAAGTTCGGGCCCTTGGGTGGACACAGGTGAGAAGTAACACCAGGTAAGCAGACAATACCAATGGACCTGCCAGAACAGAGAAAAAAGCACAACTGGGAAATGCGTACTGGTAACTCAGATGGTGCTAATGACAAAGATGATTTCTCAGAAGAAGAATAAAGAATGAACATGCCAAATCTAAAATTTATGCAGAAAATGATTCCTTTCCAAACAGGAAGAGCTCTTTCAACGTAAGCTTGGTTTACGAATTCTGTGTCCAGTGACTTCCTGGGGGACCCAACCAACAAAGCCAGGCAGCAGTTCCATGGAGGAACCCAGAACACCATTCTCTCCTAGTTCAGATGCCAAAGAAAATAGCTATGAGAGCTGCATGAGGCCACAGAGTCATGAGGAAGGGCACCCCCACCCAGAGCTCCTACGGCAGCCTCAGGAATGAGAAACTCGAGGCAGTTCTCATACCCTCTTCTCTCTCCACATTCAAAACTAAAACACATTGCATAAGAGAGCTTTAAAAAAATAAACAGGTCATCTTTGGCACTAGTTTTAAAACCATCTGCATTTCTATTAAGCTGTCCAATGATTCCATCCTGGAAAACTAGAGTGGGAAGAAGTGGAGAGAGGAGATAACTTCTGTGAATACAGCCTCCTTGTGGGAGGGTTACTCAGTAGTAAAACCTCTAGGATGTCAGTTCCCACTTACAGGAACAACTTCTTTAATCTCCCCTTTTGAGGGTTGTTTTGTGTTTAGCAATCTTAAATTTACCAATTATCTCTCAGACAAGGCTGCTTTCTACCCACCTCCCTGTCTTCCTTGACATTTACAGACTGTCATTAGTCTAAGACACAAGGATTGTGCCGTCAGTTTCAACACAGAGAAAGGGAGCAAAAAAGCAAGGAGGATCATGGTTATGAACGAAATCAGACTTGCCCAGTATGTTGACCTCATACCTAAAAGCAGTTGAGATACCCACCATTATTTCTCAAGTTTAATGTCAAGAAAACCCAACCGGTTTCACTTGGTAAAAATTAACCTTTGTTATCAAGTCTCAATTATACAAAGCTCCAGAAATACCACAGCCTTCCTTTTAATGAGAAGATTGGTGGCCCTGTGAGCCCATGGTTCAAGGCAGAAACTCTTGATTATCTTTTAAAGCCTGGAGCCTAGATAAACACCAGGAATTTGGTTCAGGGATCAGTAACCATCTGATTCCGTAGGAAACTTTGTTGGACCTTAGAGTTTTCTTATCTTGGCCAGGATACCAGGATATGTATAAGCAGTGAGCCAAATGACTGTCAAAACTTCAGCACTGTGGAGTAAGTTGAATAGAAAAGCTTCTTGATTTTGAGTTGAAAGTATTACAAATAACAGCTGTCTCCATAGATTTGAAGAGGTACCTTTATTTGTCCTGCGTACACTTTCCCTTCCAGCTCTCCAAGGGATTTTTCAAAGTCCTGGCAAGATGTTCAGTAAATACTCTTGACTGAATGATTTAATTGTAAGTAAATTGTGGCTGAGTCAATACTCTCAGTTACTCTATGCTACTATCTGCTACTCATCCTAACAACAACAACAAGCTGCAGACAGAATAAATGAAGCTAAATCTCACATTCAAATGCACTTGGAAAATTTCTAAGTTTTATGATGGCTGTTCAACCACAATCTTAGAGTCATTTAAACTGAAACTTCTGTTGACTATATTGGTTAAAGTTATGCTGAAAGAAAGGTTATAGGCAAAATACTGGATAGATACATGTTTAGTAAGCATATTTGTTATATATTATGTTATAAATTATATTTTATGTCATATGGGAGTGTCCTATTTTATATTTTAATATATTATTTTGAATTCTTTCATTCATTATCCTTACAGATATATGCAAATCCTGATTTTTCTCTGAACAGTGAAGCCTGTAAGTACAGATACAATATGTATTTTAAAAGGCTAATCTTAAAAATTAGTTACTCTCATGATACAATATGATTCATTCACTGATTTTTATTTGTTTGTTTGTTTGTTTAATTGGATTACCAAAAGATTCAGACTTGCTTCCTGGAAGAGAATAGTTTATAAAATTTTTTTCTCCACACTTCTTCAAAACTACCTGAAATAATATGTAAATGTTCACTGAAAATTAAAATACAAGTTTGTATCCAGTTTCTAAGTAATACTTAATTGCAATGCTTATCTGGGAGAAATTTTTAATTAAAGTACAGTTCTTATATCTAATGACATTATTCTACATTGCATTTAAGCCATCAGGAATATTTTAAAAATATATTTTATTCAGAGAAATTTGTCCACAGTTATGTGCGCATGGATTGATCATGTACATATTCTTTATATCATCTATGTTTCATACAAATGTCAAAAAATATTTGATAATAATGGATTTATGTGTGCTTTTCCTATTGCTGTTTTGTGAATGCTATGGCCACAAGCAAAATATGTAAAATAACCAGTAAATTAAAATACCAACACACTCTGGACTTCAAAGGAGTTACGTTTTAATTTTGTCCTGCTGGGGAGGAACAGGTATGTATTATGATCCATAAACTTCAAACCCACCCCTGGGCCTAAACAACAATTAAGAACAATTCCTTTGAACCTCTGAAGGGTGTAGTCCATGTATTTACTTCAGATCAGGGCATGACACTTTAAGATTAAACTAAAAGGTGCATTTCTCCCACCTCTGAGACATTGAGTGCTGAGAGTATAATAGGCCTTCAAAATGCATCAATTTCTTGATTCATGACATTCATCAAGTCAACAAATGCACATAAACCTAAAATCCCTAACACCCAAGGGTTGGGCCCTTGGTAGGCAAGTCAAACACTAGCTAAAGTAACCTTGAGGGATTCCCAAATATGAATCACAGCAAATCACTGGACAACAGTGATGTTGACATAACTCTTCCAGCTGAAAATCTCGCATCCAACCCACGTTGCTTCAGATCAACATCCCTGACAGGCAGCTTTCCAGTCTCCACCATAATGTTTACACTTTAAATGTTTTTTGCTTAAATCACACTTCTTAAAAAATTTTAACTGGTACATAAAATTGTACCTCGTTATGGAATACCATGTGATGTTTCTATGCATTTATACATTGTGTAATCTTCAAATCTGGGTAAACTTAGGTATCTCTTGAAATACTTATTTTGTTTTAGTGAAAACTTTCAAAATCTCTCTCCTAGATTTTTAATAAAATGTATGATACATTATCATTATCTGTTGTCACTCTGCTGGCCAATAGAACATCAGAACCTCTTTCTCCTATCTAACTATAACAGTACTCATTAATCAACCTTCCCCATCTCTTCTTCCCCTCTAAATCACTTCTTCACAAAAAGAAATTGAAGCAACTTGTAAAAAAATTTTATTACCATAGTTCTGATAACAAAAGTAGGCAATATGGGGCCGGGGATTTAGCTCAGTGGTTCTGCCACCTGCCTCGCAAGCACAAGGACCTGAGTTCAATCCCTGGTACCAAAAAACAACAACCACCACCACCACAACAACAAAAAAACAAAAACAAAAGTAGGCAATAAGCCTGGGGAAGCGAGAATGCATATTCGCTTCTGTAAGCTAGGCATGGTGGCACAGCCTTGGGAGGCTGAGGCAGGAGGATTGCCTTGACTTCAAGGCCAGCCTGGGCTGCATAGTGAATTCTAGGCCAGCCTTAACTACACAGTGAGACCTTGTCAAAAAACAAACAAAAACAACCATATTCAGTGTTGTAGAGACTGATTCCTGTCCTTGAGTTTGAAGTAAGTCTTCAGTTTCCTAATAAACAAAAATAGACTCAATGACAGTTTTAATATTGAAACCAAAAGGCACAGAGGTTCTCAACTACAGTACAGTTTTCCTGATGCAACCTTCTGAAATGAATGTCTCATGTGGGTGTGACTTAACATATAGGACAGTCAGCATTGTAATAGACAATCTCTTCAATTACAAGAAATGTCTTTGTTGGGTGTCTAGAATATTCATTCATTCCTACAGTGATTATTAGTTAGTCACAGATGATATATGAGACAGTGCTAGGCAAACAACAGGAACCAGGATGGACAAAAGGCTTGCTTTTGAAGCTTAATTCCAGCAAGAGTCCTGGGAGGGAGGAGACAAAATAAGGAAGTAAGTGACCCAGGTAAATTCAGATTATGGTGAATGAGGAAAACAAAAAAAAATGATGTGCTAGAGAATGAGAAAGGAGAGGACTACTATAGATTGGGTGGTCAAAGAAGGTCTTTCTGGAGAAGTTACTTCAAATAAGAGCTAAATGACAGAAATCCACATGCCAAGCATTGATGTGGAGGCAGAGCATTGCAAATGCAAAGGCCCTAAGAGGAGGTCTGGCTTGGCTCGTTGCAGGAACATACTGAAGACCAGTGTGGCTGGAGGATATAAGAGAAGAAGATGAACAGGATGGTGTTAGAGAGCATGCTGAGACAAACACATAAGGGCCTGGAAAACCAAAGTAAGGATTCAGGATTGCAGTCTGATAGAAAGGTATTGATAATCAGGGGATGATATTATCTGACATACCAAAAAGATACATCTGCTGCTGGGGAAAGAATTGATCATCAATGTCCAAAGGGGAAAGCAAGAAGACCTGAATATTACTGGAATAGTTCAGGCACAGAGCCAACTTGCTAATTAGATTGCATATGGGGAGCAAGACATTCAGCAGTTAAGTAGATGGTGCCATTTACTGAAAGGAGATGACTATGGGAGCTATGTTTGAAGGGAAAGTCAAGAGTTCTTTTGGTGGTATTGATTTTGGCTGTCCAAATGAGCATCCAAGTGAAGATTTAAGTAGGAAGTCTAGATTATAAGAATGAAATTCATTACAGAGGTGGGGCTGGAGACAGATATGGGAATCATGGGCAAATAAAAAAACCATAGAACCAGATGAGATACATTGTGGAAGAAGAGGACCAAGGCCCAAGACATAGGTCCTGCAACATTTAGAAATCAAACAGAGAGAACATGCCCAAAAGGGTAACTGAGAAGGAATGGTTAGAGAGTAAGCAGAAAATCAGAGAATATGGTGATACAAAACAACCAAAAGAATATGGTGTTTCAAAGATCAAGGCTGCCAAAGACTGCCAAAAAATGGAAAAGCACAAGGACAGATGAGAGACCACTGGGTTTGACATCGTGGATGGAACCAGTAGCCTTGAAAAAGTTTCCACTAGTTTTGGGGGACAGAAGATTGACTAAAGTAGATTTGAGAAAGAATGGAAAGTGGCAGGGTGGAAACTAAGGCCAATGTGCATATGAAGGGAGCAGAAAAATGAGATCACAGTTATAGAGGGGCAGAACATTAGAGGAAAGCTTTTTACCTTTAAGGTGGGAGCTACTATAACTTTTTTATAAGCTGAGAAAGAAATGATCCTATAGAGGGGGAAAAGCTGATGATACAAGGAAAAGAGGTATCTGTGAGTTAAGTCCTTGAGAAAGTGAGGAGTGTTATCCCTTCGAGTGGAGCTTGGGCACATCATCTGTAGTAACAGGATGAAAGCAAAAAATACAGGTACAGATACCTATAAATTGGTAGATTTAGTAGAAGGAAAAGAAAAAGGTCTTGTCTGGATTGCTTCTAGTTTCTCAGGAACCACAATGAATAGTGAAAAGGCAATGAGAAAATGATGCTTTTGGAAATTTGAAGAAAGATGAGAAGATAGGAAACTCAATATTTTTCAGTTTTACAACCCCAAAATATCAACTTAGTGTGCCTAATCTAACAAATATCCAATGCTATTCTGAAAGTATGAAGATAATTTCTCAGCACGTATCTTTCTACAACAAATGGACCAGCTAAAACAGGGAGTCCCCCCTGCAATATCTGAGCCACCAAATAGCAAACAGTTCACTTGTGTTCTGAAGCTATACAAGGACTGATCAAAATATTTGTTCATCAAAGAACCACATTTCACCCTTCTGTAGTGTGTATCCCCCACAATATGATATTACCATATCATATCTAAAATTTATTGAAATATTACCATGTGACAAGCACTGTGCTTAGTTTTTTTATGTGTTATGTCTTTTAATATGCCACACAATTAAATGAGCAGAATGCACTATTATTATCCCAGTTTTATAAATAATGAAGCTAAAATTTTCAAGGCTAAATTATACTAGTATTAGAGCTTATGAAGTCCGTGATGACAGAGAGGTTCCAATTAGCAATCAAGCCATGTGGTTATGAATGGAGTTGTGTAAATAGTTGTAAAACCATAGCCTAGTAAGGCATTCCTGCTTGTAAATAGTTTGTCCATATAAGAAAAATCTATAAAGCCAAAACCTAAATAAAGTGACTTATAGATATAAATGATTTGATATAGAAAGTTAAGATATTCAGAAATTCAATATAGAGGTTCCCAGAGGAGTCACTTCCTGTGTTTCACAGCATTTGTGTGATTTTAGGCCCATGTTCGTAAACAGTAGTTTTATGTAGCTTCCCCAACTAAGCTCCTGAGAAGTTGATGTTGATTTATTAGGTCATGTAAGTGACTGCATTTTCTCTATGAAAACAATTCATGTGTAGAGTTTTAACTTAATGCCATCTTAAACAAAAGATTCATTGACCTTCTAGTTTCCATCTTAGGAACGGTAGTACTCACCAAAGTGACGCATTCATAAAGTCATGGATGATTGTTACGTGAACTTTCAGAACTGTCTTTCTGGTTTCATTTGTGATTCATGTCAAAACAGCCCTGGCTTAGATTCCAGGGTTGAAACAAACCTCTAAGGTAGAATCAACTTTTCCTTCAGACTTATCTCAATATCCCTGGTGTTCTAAACCCAATGTGTTTCCTACAGTCCTTTGTCACTTAAAGTAACAATCTAGTCAGTAGTGCTCACAATTGAGATTCTAGATAAATATCTCAAAAACAAGTAGCAGATAGCACACTTAAAAACAGAAAATTTAGCAACCTGAGAGTTGGAGAGTTAGAAAATGTGTTCGTGTATTCATTAAATATTTACCAAGCACCTGTTAAATGCCAGGCACTGCTCAGAATCCTTGAGATTCTTTGTCTCCACAAAAGAAAGAAAGGTGCTTGTCCCCACTATGTCCACATAATTAATTCCTCATCTCCTTCAGATGTCACCTTTATGACATGTCACCCTAATCAGCCTTCTCCCACCTCCGCTATACTTCTGATCCCCCTCATCTTTTTCCATAGCACTGACAAACACTTCTTCTTCTAACATACTACATAAATAGGTTTTATGTAGCATATCAGGAAGCCGCAGTGGCCAGTATGGCTAGAACAGAATGAGAAATGGCAAGAAATGGAGGAAATGACCTGAGAGATGTGGGATGATGTAGATCTACGGTGCCTAGTAGGATCTCCTGTAGACTCAGGACATGGGGAACCATATCAAGGTTTTGCAGTACCCCAAGTGAGAGGCAAGGGGACCACATGAGGGTAGTAGCAGTGGAGAAAGTGATTTGATTCTGGCTATATTTTAAAGATTGGGCCATAGGAATTTCTGATGGATTGCTGCAAAATGTGTGAATGGGACTCAATTATGAATCTGAGCACTTGAAAGGATAGAATCTCATCAGCTCAAATGAGAAGGCTGTGGTGGAGCAGGTTCTGGGGAAGGAGCTGGAAAGAGCAGGAGTTCAGTATTAGACATGTTAAGTGTGAGATGTCTATTAGGTATCTGAGTAGGAGGTTGGATATAACAATCTGGAGGCCAGGAATGAGATCTAAGATGGAAAGATAAATTTGGAAGTCATTAGCATATGGACGGTATGAGACTGAGTGAGGTCACCAAAAGAGAAAATGTAGGGAGAAGAGACCAAAGACTGAACTCCGGGGTGCTCCAATATTAACAGGTTGAGAGATGCATTTAGCATCTGCAAGGTCACTGGCTACATGGACCATGGGCAAGTAGTATAGTCAGGGTAGTAGGGACAAAAGCCCAGCTGAGTCTGGCTTTCAGAGCAAATGGGAAGGGAAGAACTGGAAGCTGGGAAGAATAATAGGTAATTCTTTCAAGGAGTTCTGCTGCAAAGCAGAATGGGAAAGTGGAGAATCAATGGTTGAGAAATTTTTCTAAGAGGGGAAATATTAACAGAATGTCTCCAAATAAAGTTTATATACATACTCCATGTACACATCACAGTCTTATCACTTTTATTACACTGTTTGCAGACCTTTCTGCCCTGATAAATTCTGATAATGTATAAATTCTTGAGGATGGAACTTGGTTTTTTCAGATTTATAGGCTAACCCAAAGAATTCATTTGCTATCACAGCTGTCACAAATTACCACAGAGTTAGTAGGCTTAAAACAACACAGCTCTGTAAATTAGAAATCCAACATAAGAGTCTCATCAGGCTAAAATCAAGGTGTGACAAAATATAAATTTCTTTCCTGGTTTCAAGAAGCCGCCCACATTCCTCATAAAGGAATCCTGGCCTCTTCTTCCTTCTTCAAAACCAGCATCACTGCATCTCTCTGACTGTTTTTCTGTATTCACATCTCAGCTGGGAAAGGTTCTCTGATTTTTAAGAAAGCATGGATTGATTGGGCCCTCCCAGACTGAACAAGGTAATCTCTCCATGTCTTTGATTTCACCACATCTGTAAAGACCCTTTTTTCATGTAAGGTAAACTTATTTACAGGAATTAAGATGTGGACCTGATACTCCAGGACTGATAAATAAACAATGTTTGGAACATAACCCTTATCTGGTTTTCCTCATGGCATTTATTGCAGCCTGCATTCCAAAGAGCTGAGTTCCTAAAAACAAAACAGCCTGTAATCTCAATGTGAGCAGAAACTGTTTCTCCTTTCTACGTCACTCTATTCCCCGTACTTCACACAATATATAAAGTATGTGGGCAAGAAATATTTGTTGAATGACTGAATAAATATAAATAAGCGAGTAAACCTTTTCTTTGACATGAGCCCCTATGACAGAAATCTCTTGTTTGTGCTCAGCAGACAGTGTCTGACCACTTCAAGGGAGAAGGGCTTCCTCTCTGGAAGGAGGGTCCCCATTTATCTTCCTCGTCCTTCCTTCAATACCTTATTCCACTTTTAGCATGTCTCTTTCTTCCACCACCTACTGAGCTCATGACATCTGCTACATGAAGCTGTTAATGACATTCCCACCAGAAGGACTGATGTTTAATTTGTTAAAATAATTTTATATTTTTGGTTTTTTTGTTTTGTTTTGTTTTGGTACCGGGGCTCGAACCCCGGTCCTTGCGCTTGCAAGGCAGGTGGTGGAACCACTGAGTTAAATCCCAGGCTCCCAAATTTTAATATGTAATATATGAATATGGTACAAAATGTTTTAAGTATAAAAATATATACATTGAAAAGCAAATTGGTCTTCCCTCTTGTTTCCCCATTTCCTTCCAGAAGCAACATCTACCAGTTTGTTTTTGTTTGTTTGTGGTTGGAGCAGAAGTCTAATCTAATAGGAATAATCTATGAGTGTACAACTTTTGTGTATAAAAAATGGAAGAATCTTAAAAATACTAGAATGGATAAAGAAAATACAGTATTTATACACAATGGAGTACTACTGTGCCGTAAATAAGGATAAACTTAAGTCATTTGTAGGAAAATGGATGCACCTTGAGACTGCAATGTTAAGCAAAATAAATCAGACACAAAATCTTAAGTATCAATGGTTTCTCTCATATGAGAAATCCAAAATATAAATAAATGAATGAGTAACATAAAAGATAAGTGACAGGAAATAGGGAAATAGATCTTTTGCAAAAGGGAAGGGGACCAGGAAATGGAGGGAGGCGGAGGAAGGCAAGAAGGGGATGGGAGAAGAATAGGTGTCATGTGCAAGTACCAACTCCCCATGATGAATGTAATCATTGCGTACTACAAGCATGGGCTAATAAAAATACACATTTTTAAAAGATAAAGGGAAAAATACTTTTCTACATCTTGGTGTTTATTTACTATTAATCTTCCCAAAAGCTGCTTAGTATGCCATTAAGTAGAGATGTGACAATTTATTAAACCATTGTGATAAATAGGAGCCTAAAGTAATAGGAGTCCAGGGATCTGAGGCAGAGAGCATGTGACCAGTCCTGAGAGTGGAAAGCAAAGGGAAAGAACTATAGGGCAGGTGGGGTTCCTGGAGTCCCAGACATGTTACAAGAGCATCTAGAAGGCACCAACTGGAAGGCAGTGAGAGAAATTCAAATGCCAGAGGAGGGGAGCATGAGAGAACAGAAGCAATGGCATTCAGGGCTCTTCATGGCTACCCCCACTCAACCTACCCAGAAGCACCTTGCTTTGTTCCTTGAGCACCTCTGCCTTCTGGGCAGCTGGGTTTTCTCTCTCTGTTCCTGTCCCTCAAAAGTGTGCACATTCCAGTATCTTTGCTCACATCCTCCTGCTGCTCACACCCTCCCTCTCAGGGTCTTGGCTCCCCAGGTTTATGGGGAACCTCACCCTCCTCGTCTTCCTCCTGCCTTTTTCAACTTCTTTCAGTCATTTTCTCTGGGTTCCGTCTGTGTCGATTTGCTAGAGGTGTAGCAAAGTGTCACAAATTATGTGGTTTAAAACAATAGAAATGTATTGTCTCACAGTTCTGCAGGCCAGAAATGGAACATGAAGTGTTGGCAGAGCCATGCTGTCTCTGAAAGCTGAAACTCTTTCTTGCCTCTTCTAGTTTGCAATTTGGTCAGCAGTGCTTGGTGTTTGTGCCCTGTAGTTGCATTACTCCTTGTCACATGGCTGTAGTCTCCCTGTGTGTCTACATGGGCTTTCTCCTGAGCACATCTTTTCCTCTTCTTAGTAGGATACCAGTCATATTAGGGAGTGGGCCTGTTACCAGGTAGCTCCTTCTAAAAGTGCCTCACCTTGTAAACATTACTGGGTCTCTTTCCAGAGTTGGTTTTCAGGTTCTTCTCATCTTGAACAAAGAGAAACGAGCAAAAAATGGTGCCAAAGTTTACTTGAAAAAGTAAAAGCAAAGAGTGAGGAAGAAACTGGCTCTACAGAGCAAGCTTGG